TCTCGGCGCGATCCGCGTGTCACCCCCACTCCGCTGGGCCTCCCAGGAGCCACGAAAATGCCGACAGTTGCGCAGTTGGCAGCTCCCCCCGCAGGGAGCTGCGAGGAGGAGGTAGGAGGCAAGAGGGAGGTGGGCGGGAGGACGGGGCGACCAGAGTGCTCTATTCAAAACGAGCACCCAACCAAGGGAGGGTTGGGAAAAACACAGCAGGGAGGCGCGCCTATCAGGTAAGTTTTTGTCGACGCCCAAGTGGAAGGCCAAAGACCACCTGGGCGCCCGCGACAAGGCACACCCCCAAGAAACAGCGACAGGGAGAGGGGAGAAGGAGGAAGGAGAAGGGGAGACGATATAGGAAAATCAAAGCACACTCGTATCTTACAAGGTGGCCGCGCAGGTGTGAAAAATGCAATAGATACCCCTCTGCCACCTAAAGCCGCGGATTAGCCGGCACATCCAACATGCTGCTCCCCCCCCCCCCCCAAAGAGTTCTTAGGGGGGGGGTCCGGAACCCCATTTTGGGCGCAGGACGCGCAACTGCGCATAGCGCGCGGTGCCACGCGACACCCGCCGCACACGCGTATCTGAGGGGGGGGCGGGGAGGGCGGCAGGGAGGAGAGCGAAAAATCTCCGCAGTCGAATCAGGAACTGGGCCCTCGCTACGTCAGGACCTAAGTCGCACTGGCTATCGCCGTGCTCGCGGTGTGCGACTGTGCCAGCGCGTCCAGCTCTTGGAGGAGGGAGTGCTGCTCTGGCGCATTGCCCGCGCACGCGTGGCACAACCGCCTCTTCGCCGCGAGGCCGAGCCGGCCGCGGCTGTCCAGGACGAACGGCCCAACGCGGGTGTCTGGCCCGCACTTGGAACGCTTCTCGCGCTCCATCACCGCCGCCGCAGCTCCGGGCTTCGCCGCGCGCTGCAGCTCGATGCCCACCGAGGCGGAAAGCTAGTCGACCACAGCCACGTCCAGGAAATGTGTTGTTCGGCCTGGAATCGCGACCGCCGCGTCGAGTCTCGCCAGCGCCCCGTTGCTCCCCATCCCGGCAACGCGCTGCTCGATGTGGGTGCTGGCGCCCAAGTGCTCGTGCAGCCTCTTCTGGAGAGTGTCTCGGACGCTGTCGTGCCGGCGCACTAAGCCGCCGCCGCGCTCGCAGACGGCGCCGCGGTGGCCCTCCGGATCCAAGGCGGCGCCGCAGATCTCGCCGGTGGATTTCCTGTTCGATCCTGCAGGTCGTCCCGGTTGGATAGCAGTTCGCGCCAAAGCGGCGGAGCGTCGCTACGGCGAACTGCGCGTCCGCCATGCGGTGCTCCTCGCGCGTCGGCGCCGTCAAAATCACACCGCCGTCCTCCGCCGCCCCATTGAGGGCGATCTTCTGCCGGCGCCTGAGCGTCTGGCAGAGCCGCTGCCGACGCTGCGCCTGCATTGCTTTTGTCCGCTCCCGTCGGCGGCCTCGGAGGTTGAGCTGGCGATCCGCCTGCCGCATCGCGGGCGCCCGGGGGCCTGCACCTGCTACCAGCTCCGCGGTCGCCTGCTCCATGTCCGTGATGAGTCTCGGGCGCTGCTGGCGCAAGTGCTCGACCGTCGCCGTGCCCAGCTCTTTGTGGGCCTCCCGGAGGGCTGCCGTGCAGCGCGCCTGTGAGGAACGCCGCCGGAGCTCGGTCAAGAACGCCTCCTGCTGCACAGCCGCCCGCGGATAGGGGGGGCTGTAGCTGGGCGCGCTTGCCATCGCCCCAGGCTGCCGCTACGGCGCGCCCCCGCGCCTTCGCCGCGACAGCCTCGAAACGCGCTCGCCCCTCCTCTGAGACGAGCGCGCTGCGCATGACGTACTGGGGCTTGGTTGCAGCAAGCGTGCGCGACAGCACCTGCGCCGTCTGGAGGCTCAGCCCGCGGCGCTGCAGGTCGAGGAGGCGGTCCACATCGCGCGCCACTTTGCCGATGATCACGTCGAACTCGCTCTCCTGGGTGCCCAGCGCGGGCACGGAGTCGCCGGCGCACCCGGCCTGGCGCCCAAAATGGTCATGCTATCCACGCGGTGCTCCTATAAGTGCCCTGGGAGCTGGTGCCGCTGCGCCCCGAAGATGTGGATCTTGGAGGGGTGCAATTCAATGCCTGCTTGTGCTGCTGCTTCGCCGAAGGCCTTGATAACCACGCCTGCGTCTGCCACGTTGCAGACCGAGTAGACGTCGTCTATGAGTGCTTTCTGCGTCTGGGCTGGCGCCGTGATTCGGGCTTTCGCAAGGTTTTTGTGCAATCCCAAACTGCAGAGGATGCACGATAATTGGCAGCCCGCGTCGATGCCAGTCTTGGCCTGGAATGTGGTCGTTCCTCCGCCCGCCTGCTCCCAGATCAGCGGCGTGACCCCCGCGTAGAGCCGCGTGACGAGTGCGCCCAACTCCGGCGCGAACTCCTTCATCGCCTCGCGCATCGCCGCCATGCTCATCGAACCGAAGGCGTTCTCGAGGTCGAGGGCCACGATCACCTTCCCCGGGCAGCCCGCCAGCAGTGCCGACACCGCGTGGCACAGCTTCTCTGTGCCACCTGCCCCGCCGATCGCGTGCTGCACGGGCGCTAGCAGCGAGCGGATCTCGGGCGCAATGACTCGGGCTAGGCTCTTCAAGACGATGCGCCTCAGCACGGCCGTGATCACCAACGGCCGCAGCCCGCCTTTAGGCTTGGCCGGCGCGAGCAGTCTGCCCACGCGGCATGCCGAATAGGCTGCTGCAGGTGCCAGCCCGCGCGCCCACGCCACACCGATCTGCGATGTGAGGCGCTGGATCTCCTTGCAGCTGCCCATCCAATGCTCGAAGCGGGACCCGTCCATCGCTGGCCCGGCCTTATTCGCCATGTGTTTCGTGTCGCGTTGGATCTGGTCCTGAAGCTTGGCCCAGAGCAGGCTGTCGTGCGCGACCTCAAAGGGAGGTGGGACATGTCCAACTTTCTCCTCTGGGAAGAGGGCGGCTACCTCCGGGACGTGCTTTTTGTCGCTGATCAGCGGTAGCGCAGTGGTTACTGTCTTCAGTGCTCGCGGAAGCTCACCCACCAGCACCATCGCCTCCACTCTCTCCCCCAACTGCTTCTTCTCGGATGGGCTGCCAGTCTGGTCCTTCGCCCTGCCGGGCCACCTCTCGCAGAGGATGTTTGCCTCTTCTGCGAGCCCCTGCCACTCGCCTCGCCAGAGGTGGCGGAGGCGTGCTGTTAATGTTGCTCGGGTTTGTGCCGAAGCGCTTGCATCCTTGTCATCGCTCGGGAACGGTCTGGCGTAGAGGAAGCGGTGCATCATGAGCAAGAGCTTCCAACCAGGCTCGTCTGAAGGGTGCGTGGCTACGTGGCGTAGGACAATAAGCTCGGTCTCCTCGAGCGCCGCCCCCATGTCTCTCGGCGCGGCCTCGTAGGTCCGGACTGGCACCTCCAGCACGCGGAGAATGTCCGCTCCTTCCCACCAGGTCATGTTGCGTAGCTCGTTGCTCTCGTCTGCGTGCATCGCCGGATCGCCGCGGACCTGCTCCTCTGCCATGGCTTCGCCGGGGCCCATCTCCTTCGCGTGGTCGCGCGCATTCGCAGGCTCCGTGAGAGAGGCGCCATCAGCCGGCAACATCTGCACCTCCAAGGCTTGGAATTCCTCGTTGTCGGCCTCTGGGAGGGCTTGGGCACGCAAGATTGTGTCTGCCGCTCGGAGGCCAGCATGAACGCAAGCATTGTGCAGGAACCACCCACCTCCTTTGGTCGCGTTGGCTCGGATCGTCAAACAGACCTGGCCTTCCTCGAAGGGCTCGCGGCACTGCCGGCAGCACGCCTTGCGTTGCGGGGCGACTGGGCGTCCGCAATGTAGACGCGCTGCGGGGCGCCTGGGACTCTGGTCGCGGCAGCAACGTCTGCTGGCAGCTGCCATGGCCCCGCGCCGACTGCAACCGAGGACCCCCCCCCGGTGCAACGTCGGCCGCCATCGCCCGCGCCCGCAGAAGGGGGGGGAATAGAGAGAGAGAGAGAGAGAGAGAGAGAGAGAGAGAGAGAGAGAGAGAGAGAGAGAGAGAGAGAAAAATCGATTGCTCCTGCAATCCGGCGTGTGCTTCCTGCTGCTGGCTGGGGCCAGCGCTGGCCTTGGTGGATGGAACCGTGGTGGCCTTGAACCGTGGTGGCCTTGAGCCGTGGTGCTGGCCGTGATGGCCTCCTCCCCCCCCCCCCTCCTCCTCCCATGCCCCCCTCCCCCCCGTTTTCTTCGGCGCTAAACCTTGCGAGCCATTCAGACAGAGCGAGTTTGAGAACAGCAGGATACGCAGAGCAGTCAACTTCTCCACTAGTCCTCGCAGCCCCGACTCGGCCACGGGGGGCGCGCCCAGGTTTTCTCCGACCCTGGGAAAGAACATCGCCTGAGCAGAATGACCTGCTTGGGCTTATTTCGAACAATATCATTTTGCAACGGGGGGGGAACGAGTCCTCCTTGCCTGCAAGATCCAGTACGGTGCAATACAAAACTGGGCAACCACTCTTCACAATCCTGGAAACGAACCGAAGGTGTTCACTGGTACCAGCGCGCTTGACAAGGGCCTGCGCAGGCGGGGTGGGGGCACCGCGTACCCCGATCGCTTCGCTCGGGCCACGCAGGCGCTCGTTCCGCAGGCACCTCCAGCGTTGCCCTTCCCACAGACGTGAGGGGCCTTGAGCGGCGCTGGCCCCTGGCGGAGCTCTGGGGATTTCGTCGAAAGGGCCGCGCGGGTTTTGGGCAAAAGGCCACGCCTGCAAGATGACCGGGGCGGCTTGGATGGCAGGCGCAGCTCCCCTCGCTGAGCGGCCACTCGCCCCTCGCCACTGGGATAGAAAGGTCTAGCAGCGCCGAGATTGGCAAATCTGCCGGCCCAAGAATTTCCTTTGACGAAGAAAATGGCTTGGGATCCGACATGTTTTCTAAAGAGCGGCGCGCCTTGACCTTCAAAACCTCCACCGGGGCCTGGATATCGTGCTTCATGACGCCCCAGTAGTCCCCCGTCAGAAGCCTCCCATCCCAAGCTCGAGACGCCGGTGCAGCCTCGGGCACCAGGGCGTCACAATCAGCAACAATGTGCTCTGGTTCATAGAAGGTCCTTCCGCAGGCTCGATACTCTTTGAGACAAGCCATGATGCCCTCCTTTCGATGCTGACTGCGCAATCGGCAAAAACGTGCCCATACTCACCACGCCTGAGTTCTCCGCCCGCTGCGACTTCTGCCACCCCAAGCCCTGCCCTCGACAAGACTGGGGTAGAGGAGGGAAACGGGCAGGAGCCGTCGACGAAGAGCTCCGATTCGGGATTTTCAAGGAACGGCTCAGTAACTTCCCAACGACTACGCAGATTGGCTACTCTTGAGCGCTGACGGGGCAATCCATGATGTCGCGGATGGGCAGGCCAGGCGCACAACAAAGGAAGCGAGGGGAGATAAACTTGTCTATCGCAACGCCTCGTGGAACTCTCCTGGTGACTCGAGAGAGTCGCACCCTAAGCCAAAGTGGCTATGAGACATGGTCGAGCACGAAGGGGGGGGAATGGAGAGTGCGGGGGGGGGGTCCATCGGGACCCATTGGACGACAGCGGGCCCAACTTCAACGGGCTCAACACTGTCGCACAGGCTGGCTCCATCCGGGAGACGTGCGGATCCTCCTCGCTCCTCCTCCCCGCGTGCTTCTCGTGCCTCTCCTCCTCCTTCTTCTCTGAACTTCCCTTCTCCTCTTCCTGCTCTCCGGTCATGTTCTCCTCCTTCTCCTCCTCCTCGGGACCCGCGAGGGCACCGGGCAACCTTCTCGACTCCTCCTCGCGCTCTTTCTGAGACGTGTCTTCCAGCATGGCTCTGCGACTGGCGCCTCGGGATCTCGACTTCAGTGCCTGATTCAGCGAGCGCTCATCTAGATGACCCTCCTCCCCCACCAGACATCGCGTGCCTCTACGCAAAAAGGTCCGCCAGGGCCAGATTCGACCTCCCGGGGTCTGAGCGAGCGAGGGGATCAGCCGACACCCTGCCATGAGGAAGCCGCCTCACTTGGGCCCCAGTGGCCGAGAGGGAATCCCTAGTGACGGCGAGCTCGATAGCGCTGCGAAGGTCTTGCCTGGATCCAGCAGCGTTCCTCGAGAGCGCGTCAAATGCTGATTTTGCGTCGACCACGGCCAGCTGGGCAGCGCGCTCCCTCCACTGGCAGCTGTTGGACATCACAACCGAAAGCGGGGGAGCTCCTAGGTTCCAGTTAGGGCGATCCACGCCCCCGTAAACGCAGCCCCTCCAAAGAACCTGGAGCCGCTGGGCATCGGCGATGGCCCCGCCGAGGGCCAGAGTTTCAGCGGCAACGGTGGAGCTTATCACGCGCTTGAGTCTCTGGGAACGCCACGGCAGCACAGAAGCCCGGGCCCGACGGTTGGCGCGGATTGAAGCATCGGCGGCCATCACAATCCAGGCTCCCTGGGGGCCGCCCCGGCTCGCGGACCCCGGGCCAGAAGCGTCCGAAGCGGTCGCAAAAACGACCGAGTGGGGGTCCAGGGACCAGATCGTGATCTTCTGGGCGGCCGTGGAGTTCAAGTACTCACAGACTCGGGCAAGGTTAACCGCATGGCCAACCAAAGGAGCAGGCATGGCGCCCGCGAGGATAGAGGCGGCGCCAGCAACGTCTGGCCTGGATTCTCGGGCAAGCCAATGTACCTGAGCGCCTACAGCGCGGCAGGAGCGAATCTCAGCGGGAGTGAGGGGGGCGCCCAGATCAGCCTTGCGAGAGCGATCGAGGGGCATCACGTTCAACTGTTCTCTAACGTATTTTTCTTGATCGACGACGATGCGATCGGGGAGTTGCTGTATATGGCGCCCAGCGAAATCCGATTCTCTCTCTTTCCATTTTCCGAATCAGAAGCGTGAAATAGCACGCTCCCTAACGCTCTCCAATAACGAACCATCCCCCGTGACGATCAGATCGTCCATCTCGATGAGAACCAGCCCCGGCAGAGCTCCCATCCGCCTACGGCGAAGCCACAAGCAGGGCTCGCGACTTAACGAAGCCCTCCCCCTTAAGCCAGTCGGTTAAGGTCTGGTGCCAGCGGAGTGGCGCGTCCTTCAAACCATACACTGGGGCGATCAGCTCTATCAGCTGGTCCGCGCCCACTGGCAGCCCATCACAAGTTTCCACATGGATTGCGCCTCCGGGTCGATTCAGCCTCTGGCTTTGGCAAAAAGCGTTCTTGGCGTCGGCTATGGCGACCTGCCATGAGAATGACGCAGCCACTTGCAAACATGCTATTACGCTCTCGGATTGGGGGGTCAGAGCGTATACTTCCAGGGATTCGGAATCGGGATCTTGGTGTCCGTGAACGCACCATCTAGACTTCGGTTCGGGGCGGGCTCCGACGCCCTCAACCGGCTTGAGACGGCGCACCATTCTCGAGGATAATATTCGGTCAGCGTGCCGTCGGCAAACGGAGATCGTCTCTTCGGACGAGAGCGCGCGGACGGCCCTGGTGGCCAGCATCGCTTCCCACTCCTTAGCATCCGATAGCACGAAGCGGGCCCGATCCTCGGGCCCAAGATCTTCCAATCGGACCTCGGCTCCTCTAGGATTCATCTTCTGAGGGGGGGGCTTGTCTGGGCGAGCATTTGCGAACGACAGCTCGTCCTGGCCCTCCAGACCTGCGAGGCCAGCGAAGAAGGTAAGGACCTCGAGAGCGCTCTTCCCTCCCGGGATCTCGCCAAGCTCCCTCAAGAGGGCCTCGTCTTGGAAATCGTCGGGGGGCTCCCAGAGGCCAGCTTCGCCGGCTTCCGCCTCCTCCGCCGCCTCGCCGAAGGCCAGAAGATCCCCGCCCAGCCCACGATCGGGCGACCTACTGCGAGCACGAGGGAGGGGGGCGCTCTCGATTGGGCGTCGAGCCCTCGGCGCGGAAATTTCTCGGCCCGACCCGATGGGTCTCGGGGGGGAGAAGCGAACCCTGCCCATGGGAACGTCCTCCCGCGGAGCCCCCGGCTCCGCGGAGGCGGCAGGGGGGCTCTCTCCGCCTCGAAACCTCCGGACCGAGCTGGACCGGGGGCGCTCATGAGCGCTGGCTCAAAATCACGCGATGGCACTGGGGGCCCCCCAACCGCCCCCTCAGGCGGTGAAGACCCTGCAGGCGCTTCTATCGCTGCCACTCTCTGTCTCACTGAGGGGGCGGCCCCTTCATGCTCTTCGATAGGGGTCAGTCTAAGTTTCTTTTCCCGGGATCCGCCAGGCCCGCTCGCAGGCCTCGGTCCAAGGCTAGGCCTGGGGGGGCCTTCCAGGCGCGCAGCAGCGGGCCCCGAGGAAACCGAGGGGTGGCCCGTGGATGAAGGCGCTGGGACCGACCCCTCCGAAACGGTCGGCAGGCGAGTGCCCTCTGAAGGCGGCCTTCCTCTGCGAGCCAGCGCGGCACTGGGGCCCAATCTCCGAGCGGAGGCCTCCTCGGGGGCCTCGGCCCGAGCGACCTCGGGGCCATCGCAGGCCTCTGGAGGAGGGGGTCCTTCGGCGGACACATCGACCGCTCCAACTCGCTTTCCCGGGGGCCGAATGTCGTCTCGAAGACGGTCGAACAGGCTGCTGTCCAGAAGTTCCGCCCCCATCGATTCAGCCCGCGTGGCCATCCGCACTTGCTCGGCTGAACACTTGAGCAGCCTCGCCCTCATGGCCACCCAGACAGCACTGCCGGCGGGAGAGCCCCCTGAACCCGAAGCCTGGTATATGACGACTCCGGGGCCCGTCCAGCGGCCCCTCTGCAGCGAGCGCGATCGATTCGAAGCCGCGAGACGCCGATAGACGTAAACCCAATCCCCCGGCCGGA